TAAATCTGTGGTGCAGTGAATTTTTCTTCTTCATCATGTACTTCCAAATTTTCATTCTGTTGAAGATTATTAATTTTATAGTAGCTGACATCAGCAAAGAAAGGCTGGGTGCCAATAGCTGTACTAGTTATTTGAAATAAAGTTTTTAAAAAGAAGAAAATATTTTACAGTTTGACCAAGATGTGCAGATCTTAGAGGTTTATCTGGACTTCGAACGATAGTTTTGGTATATAGCCTTGGATGGAAAAATGAGTTTCAGTGTAAAAATCTTTTTCCAATCTTCAGTCTCCAGTCTTGGTAATTAAGGTCTTGCTTGTGACACTTTCTTCATAGCAAAGTCAGTGATTTTTACTGGTCTTCTTGCTATTGCAATTTCAAGACACATATGCTGCACTGAACCAGCTGCCAGGTTCCACTGAAGTACTTTGCCTATTTTCTGTTGATTAATTTAGTTCTCTAGCAGCAAATGTTTATTGGCATTTTTTGTTTTTGATTACACTTTTCCTTTGCATTTCCTTTTGTACTTTGGTTCAACATAATTCCATTTTTATTGTAGGCTTGAATGATCCTTGAAATGCTTGACTTCCCCACATCAACAGTCACTGCTACAGTATTTTTTATTATGTGTGTTCTTTAAAAACTACTTTAAAGCGTTTAGTATGCTTATTTAAAAAAAAATAGAACAAAAATCCAACCAAAGAGAGTTGTGAGGTATATGTATGTGTCATGAAATTGTGCTCAACTGACAAAGAAAATAATTAGTGGTAGGGAAATTGGCTCAGCTCAGTTTCATCAGTCAAAGTTAGGTGTTCTGAGTGAGCCCTTTATCAGTAGAAAGACAAGCATGAAACTTAAGTTACTGTTTGTCCCAAGTAATTCACACACCAATGTAATTCTATTATATTCACATGCCATCTGTTTTTTTTTCCCACCCATTTCCCAAATGGCAATTACCTACTTTGTTTCTAGTTCTTTGTTGCTATGAGTAGTTTTGTATATAGTGGGCCTTTGTTTCTATTTTGGTATTTTGGGTTCTTTTTTAAAGTAATCAGATCATAAAGTTCTGAAGCTCAAATGTTTCACAAGGGCTTTCTAAAATTTAGCTTGATAAAAGTTGTCTTTTAAGTGTCCAAAAAGATTCTCTTCATTTAGGCAGTACTAATCTCATCCTTTGTAGTTAGGCATACTTAGTATTTTTCTCAACATATTCAAAACATTAGAGATTTCTTTGCAGCTTGATATTTGAAGTGTAAGGAAGCTGGAAAATATTATGGAAATATCATGAAAAATACAGAGTATCTTATTGCTTTTTATCTCTGAGGTACCTTAAACTCTTCACTTTTCTACCCCTTCCGGAGATTGAACATATAATGCAGCTGCATACCAAAGCACCAGAAAAATGGGGACCTCAGATACGACTTGCAGCAGAAGTAACAAAGTTTGTTCATGGCCAAGAAGGATTAGAATCTGCCAAAAGGTAATCTTTTCAAATCATCAATACCCAACATAATTATGTAGAAAGCCTCTGCCAACCAGGAAGGTATATGAAGTCACATCGCATCTAGAAAAACCTAACTTTTTACATGAAATGGAACAGGTTTCCTTTTCATTTGAAGACAGGATTAAGTGCAGTCCTTTCATGAAAATATTAACTGCTATATCAGGAAAAATGAATTGAGATTTATGCTGTAGGCCTGGCACTAACCAGCTGTGTGACTTAGACATTTTAAGAATATTTCTTCAGTTGGATTAAGTAATTCCTAAGATCTCTTCCATTTAGGAAATTTTATGACTATGAAAATTGCTGTAGGGCCAAAATGCAAGTTTTATCATTTCAGTATTTATTAAAATGTTGGGATAACTTGAAATGTATGTTTTTCAGGTGTACACAAGCCCTTTATCATTGCAGTATAGATGCACTAGAGATTATGTCTGATGAAGAGTTAAAAGAGCTATTTAAAGAAGCTCCATTCTCTGAACTGGTTCTTGATCCTGGAACAAATGTATTAGATATATGTCGCAAAGCAAATGCCATTCCAGATGGTCCAAGAGGGTAAGATTATTAAGCTCCTATGTCCAAAGGCATAATTCACATCATGATTTTTAGTTTTATCAAGGAAAAAAATAGCTTATACTTTTACCCCCCAAAAGACCTATGCTGAGGCCTCAACTCCAGGTCTCTTTGTTAGGGAGATCTGGTAGATCCTGGCACTGATTTCTGAACACTTTACCTAGTGAAGTGGAGAGAGAAGCTCATCATCAATCGATCGGCAAGTTGATGAGGAATTCTTTGACCACGACAACCTTGTTAAACAAAGAAAAATACAAAATAGCGTACAGTCCTTTTGTCCCTTCCATTTTTGTATGACAAACATCAACTTAGCTTTTGGTATTTTAAATTCGAGATCTGTGTTCAATCAGAAAGGATTTATTCAGTTCTTTTGTGCCAAGTAATTTACTAAAAGCACCAGAAATACAAAGAAAGATGTTCAGTCCTATTGAAGGGACTGAGATTAATATTGACATTCTTAAAGTAAATCGAACCTAGAAAATGAGGAAACCAATGCAAGGAAGTTCATATATGAGAAGAGTTCATATTCGTAGTGTCAAAGAAGAGTTAGCAGAGTTGGTTTTATTGTGTGTCCAAAGGCAAGAAGAAACATCATTTTATGGGACATTCGGTCTTTTCATTGCAGTGCTAACATAAATGTTTGTAAAAAGCACCACAAAAATAATTTCAGCAATATACTAGCATCTGTTGTAGATAACATAGTACAGAAATAACGTGAAGGACCAAATAACTATAGGACCATTCAGACTAATAAATTAACTTATACTTTAATACTGTATGACTTTAGTACAAAGGTGGTAGGCAAAGATGGTGAACAATACATTGGAAAGGCAGGAAAGAGACCAAAAAGAATCATTCTGATGTATTAGGTACACTCTCCAGAACTGGAAGTTACTGGATATGATAAGCACTGATTAATATCACAAAATTTAAATGATTATATTTTGATAGGAAATTACTCATTTGTAATTTAAGTCATTCTTCTGATACAGCCTTTCTGTTTACAGCCAATATATATAGATAGACTACAACCTGTTAGAGCAAAAATCAGAACTTGAAGTCAAGAAGAATAAAAATGGAAGGACAATATGGCATGCAAAGAAAATAATTCCAACCTGTTACTGATACAAGAAAGTCAGAAATGGATGGAAGAAAGGATATTTAGCATTTTAAGGACAAGTGTGAACTGCCATAAGGAGATCAAAAAGACTGTAAACTGCCCTGGTAAACACTTGACAAGTGAGGAAGTAATTACAGGAGTAAAAGTAATCAGATCTGATGATTAAACAAGCAAAAGACAGTGAAGAGTCAAAGAATATTCTGAAGCTTGGGGTATAGCTAAGCAGAAATGACAAAAGTATAGAAACAGGGAGTTCAGAAAATTATTTTATTTAAGAGGAGGAAAGTTCTGTTTTGAATATGTTGAATTTGAAGTGTCTAGGTGATCCTGGTAGCAACACTGGAAATATGTGGTATTAGAGCTTGGAAGAGATATCAGAAATTGAGATCCCTATTAACTTTAGAAACCTCTTTAGTCTTTTTTCACCTCTAGTGAAACAGTATGCAGCACTAAGAACTATTGATTTACCACATTTATCTCATCTCTTTTCTCTTGTTCTTAACTTTGGAAGCATACGCTAATTGAACGATATTGCATGTAGGAGTCAAAAGACATTGCAGCCTAATTTTTCTTCCCTGAACAACAGATACTTTCCATTGAAAAGTATGAAAAGAGAAAATGGGAATAGCATATAATCATATTTACATGATAATTTAGGATTTGAAAAATACTTCACAACTACCATGGATGTTATTACAGTATAAGTATAGTAACAGATAAAGATATTGAGTCTGAACATACAATTTGTATAGTTAGTCATAATGGTAAAAGCTAGAATTTTAACCCAAGTATCCTGACTCCTAGGTGCTACACTCTTTCTTTTATGCTACAGAGGAGTCTAAAAAAATGTTCCCTCTAGCAGTGGCATTTTTTTCCTACTGTATGTAATGGCGTCTGTTAAAGGGTCCTTTAGGGAAACAAAGACATGAAATAAGGGACAGTTCATAACAGCTCTAAGTTGGAGACCTACCAAATATATAATAATAGATCTATATTTAAATTTGAAATAAATCAGCTTACTTTTTATACATTTCTATTTTTAGATACCAGATGATTACAGACGGAGGAGTCAGTATAAACCACAAACAAGTAACTGATCCAGAAAGTGTTCTAGTTGTTGGACAACATATCCTCAGAAATGGACTTTCACTACTCAAGATAGGAAAAAGAAATTTCTACATTATAAAGTGGCTTCAGCTGTGACTAGAAAAAAAACAACCTAGCTGATAATAAAAATTTTATGCTAGCAGTCTAAAGATGAGTTGGCTTCAGTGTCTTTATTCTTTGAGTAGGTCAGAAGAAAAAATAATTTGGTATACTACAGTTCTCTGTTTACTGTATTTACATAGGTTGATTAATAAATATTTTATTTCTGTGGGAAAAAAACATAATTTGTAACAATCTGAGGAAGAAAAATATTTACATCAAGAAAAGAGTAGCAGTGTTAGTGAATTCTATTATTTCTTATATTACCCTCCCTTTGCTGTGCAGACTATGATGAAGGAAAAGCAAATATAATTGTTATTATTCTTATTACACTACATGTTTACAAGTGGTGGCAAGCAGGACTGCACATTTCATTGGTGTCATGTAACCATTCTATAAAACACAAGAATTTCTAGATTTCAACCTCTTGGGGAAAAAGCAAGTTTTGAAACAAAAAGAAAATCTGTCATCTTTCTCTTTATGAAGGAATACATTAGTGTTTATAAGGGGTTAATTATATCAGTCATAATAATTACTAACAGCATTTTCAGTTCCAGGAGAGAAAAGTTAACATGTTGAACATCATAAATAATCTGCCTTGAAGACTTAAGAGATTACAGAAGTTTATTGAAAAAGAAAACAACTACTCCATCATTTTTACTTAAGCCTGTCTTCTCAACAAGTAAAGAATTTTGCAATTCAGTTAATTTGAAGTTCATAGAATCATCAGAGGTGTTAATGAGTCTTAGGATGACAAGTATTATACTAGCCTACTTTGTTTTATATTTTTAGAAATTTTGAAAATACACTGTAATTTAGACTTACCATCTTTTTGTTTCAGGATCATTATTCAGATATAACAAGGATCTAATTTTGCCAGTATGAGGAGAGCCCCCCACTAATGCAGATTACAATCTTTGATTAAAATCAAAGAATTTCTTGGAGGTTAAGTCAACTTGCCCAAGATCACACAAGTAGTAGCAAAGATAGGATCTGAACCTAGGTCTTAAGACTCCAACCTAATAATGTTGCTACATCCCTGGCTCATAATAAGTTAAATTGGAGTTTTGATTAAGAAGCACCCAAGGATTAAGATAATGATTTCAGTAATTTTTAAAGATAAGTAAGGAAAGAGTACTTGGGTTTGGGAATCAGTCAAGAGACCTAAGTTTGCCACTTAAGTTTTGTGAATATTTTTTGTGTGAATGAATTTGAACAAGTCACTGAACTGTTGTCTACCTGTAAAATGAGGGGGGAGCTGCAACAGATCATCTCAATGGTTCCTTCTAGTTCTAAGATTTTATGATTAATATATGCCATATGCATTCTTAAATAATGAGCAAAAGTAGCATTATAAAACATCTTTTTCCTTCTGCTTCTCAAATTCATTTTTCAGGTCACGGTCACAAACCTTGCAATAAATTTAGATTTGACCATAAACAGCTTTTATAATCCCTCCCCCCTTGAGAATGAACTTAAATTTCAGAAGTACTCGTTTGTTGACTTAAAGTGCACTGTCTTTCACACCAGTGACTTTATTTACAGTAACAACAAACATTAAGGTCAGAAATCTGTACACTTAGTGCTTCACTTGAATGTTTATCACCACCAAATGTAACATTTTTCACCCAACACTCAGAATAGGAGAAACAGGTTATAATCTGTCACTAGTACTGCTGGTACTAGTACTACCAGTTTACTAGTAGTAAACTACCGAGGACGAGAAATGAAGTAATGAGAGATTATTAAGTTTCAATTTTAATTGAACATTTAATTGAACATTCCTTGACATGTGGAACAAAAGATAAGGGATTTATGACTTGCCTGAAAACAGAAGGACTAGATATCAAGGTCATATATTTAGCATAATATTAGGCATAACTGAAATGGTTACTACTAAAATGTTGCCCAAGGTCTTTTGTCTGATACAATGCAAACATTTCCAAATTTCACACTATTTTTTTAAAGGGTTTCAAGAATTTAATATCTATTCTAAAACTTAATTTTGGCTAGGTGTTTATCCTCTAATGAGGTCAAAAGTATAACTTAAGGTAATTTTTTCCTATAATCTGTCATTGGGAACCTCTCTTAGCAGTTATTAGCAAAGAAGATATATCCATTATTTCCATCTTCTTTCCTTCCCCTCATTTGGGAAAAAATAGGTGATCCTTTTCTCCTGCACCCCCTGTTTCCTCCACCTTCCAAGTCATCAAATATAATTATTTCTAGAAACAGTTCTATTATTTCAGTCCTTAAAGAACAGAAAGGGAAGGTTATATTCAAATTATTTTTGAAGATAAAAGTATAAATTTTTGAAAAGTCAAAATTTAATATTTACACATTTTTTTAAAGCAATAAAGCACTTTTGTTCCAGGGTTGAAAGAGCTCTGTACTCACATAAACTCTGCACACATTCCTTAGCATAACTTTTTGCTTTTAGCTTTCTTTTGTTAGCTAATCTGAAGTGAATTATCCATTTGAAAATGAAGTTGAGAAGCTGAAAGACAATTTTTTTTAATAAATGTGGACTCTATAACTGTATGGCAAACTTTTATCAACTTGCATACCTATCAAAGCCAGATCAGTTGATATATTAGAGAACATGCTTTATAGTCAAACAAAATAACTTGTTGCTATTTCTTCTCAAATACCTAGGCATGGTAGTTGCTTGAAACTATTTAAGATCATACAGTTTATAGGCAAATGGCTTCAGAAACTTGGCACTACTAGAATATATGTATACATACATACATACATACATACATACATATACTCACACACACATACACACATGGAACATTTCAGAGAACCAGCTATTCATATTTAATATATGGATTTAATATGTGTTTCTTCTGAAAACAACATTTTTATCTCAAAACTTTTCACAGCAGATTTACATAGTTAATACACAGGAAGAATTCATAAATGACACTCCAGTGAAGTTTGTAATAACTATTACAAGTCATCATCATCTTCACCAATATAAATGCCTGGTACATTTCTTCACCAAAGATGCGTTTCTCGAATTTCAGCAATTATCTGACTGGCTCGCTGTAAGGCCTGCATAATTAAACAAAGGAGGAAAATAAAATTAAAGCTTTAAAGACATTTCTTTAATGTAGGGAGTGCCAGGTTTTATAGATTTAGTGATGCCTTTATAGGTTTAGTTGTCCTTAGATCTCTGCAGTAGAGATTGAATGCTTGGCAGGTCAGCTCGAGAAAGGACTTCAGTGTCCAGTACCTTATTTTGCCAACTTCAATGCGGTGGCAATGTTGTTCAAATGCCAAATGTACCTTTGCCTAAAAGACTATTTTATGGAGAAGTCACACAAGGCAAACACTCACATGGAGGTCAGAAGAAACATACAAGGACATTCTCAAGGTCTCTCTGAAGAACTCTGTAATCAATCATGAGACGTGGAGACCATGGCACGAGCCTGCCCAGCATAGTGTTCCCATATCAAAGAAGGCACTGTGCTCTATGAGCAAAGCAGAATTGCAGTAGTTCAAAAAAACCAGGAGATATGTAAATTTAGAGACCTCTTTACTCCAAATGTTCATAGACCTTTGATAGACCCTTCTGAGCTCATATTAATCTGATCTGCCACAGTCAAGATACACTGTACCTTGACCCTGACACAGTGATGTCATTTTAGTCCTCTTTAAGCACAAAGGACAACCACCACCTCAAATGCTACACCAAAACAAAGAATGCATTAGCCTTACTTAACAAGTCCAAACTAGTTGAAAAGTGAGGCTGGCTCTGGAACTGCAAACATATAGTTTGTAAAGATTCATCATCACCGGATGGGACACAAGGTAATGAGTTTTTCAGGTCCCAAAGTGAGTTGATCCATGGAGGTGTGTTTCAATCACTATGTTTCACACACAGTCCCACCATAATCCCCCAATCCACCCTTCCTTCCCATATGCAAGATTCTAACATCTCTTTTTGTACCAGGATCAGAGAAAAATATAACCCCTGCATTTCACAGAGCTAGCCAATAAGAGTTTCACTCACAAATTTTTTTTCTCTTGCATAAGTGATTTGTCAATATTGAAATTCACTTGCTATGCTAACTACATATCAATAAAATCAACTGAATAATTAATTAGTAACAATTATTATTTATAAGTCCACCCTATCTTCTAGAGATACACAGGGAAAGCTTTAAAGGTTTTTTTTGGGGGGCGGCTTGATGGTTTTTAAGATTGAGAAACTAGGGGCAGCTAGGTGGTGCAGTGGATAGAGCACCAGCCCTGAGATCAGGAGGACCTGAGTTCAAATCTGGCCTCAGACCAAACACTTGACACTTACTAGCTGTGTGATCCTGGGCAAGTCACTTAACCCCAACTGCCCCAAAAAAAAAAAAGACTGAGAAACTAAATGCTTTTTGGGGAAAAAGGTGATAGAAAAATTTGAAAATGTCTTTGAAATGTTTCCATCTCTATGTGATTTTTTGTTGCTAAAAATCTGTGCTATCATTTAGAAAAACTACATAAAAAATTGTCCAAATAAGTTTCAGTGGCATTAAAATTCACTTATTAAAAATATTTAAAATATAATACCTTATTAGTTTTCAAGAACAAATGATTGACCTCATGGAAGATGGAAATTTGTTAGACAAATTCCAACAAAAACATGATTGGTGGATGGAATTACTTTGGTTCTATGTATATTGTTGAAGCATCTTTTTCAACTATTGTCAGCCACGTATCAAAATGGTTTTAAGTTGTTTCAAAAATAATTAGGCATCTTGTAGTTTTGCAAATTGATGCTCAGTAAGCCCATAAAGTATATTTTTATCCTTACTGTACAAATGAGAAAACAGGCTGAAAAGAATATAGATACATTAGAGTGGATGCTCAGTTTTTTTATTTTTTTTTTACCTCTTACCCAAGTTTACAATTCCTGAGTCATTCTCAGTTCCTTGCTCTAGTTTACCCTATTTAGCTAATCAGCTGGCAAATAATGTCAATAGTCTCTATAATAGTTCTACCTTAGTTGAGAGGTATGTGTTCCACATGTTCCTTTCTAGATTACTCTCTAGTTTCCTTCAAAGCTTATTAGCCAAGACCCACATTCTACATGAGGTCTTTTCTCATTTTTCACAGCTGCTAGTATTTTCTGCCTCCCCCAATCACCTTGTATTTGTTTTGTATACTTTTATATACATCTCAGCTTCCTGTTAAAAGTAAACCCACTCTAGGCAGAGATTTTTATTTTTGTCTTTGTATCCCCAGTGCCCAGCACTTGTTAAGTGGCTGAATGATAGATTCTTGAAATAATGAGCAAATACTGGACTTGAATCAAATAACAGAATACTTTGAGTATAAAGCAAAGGTAAGTGGCAGGCAAATGAGACCAAGTTATAATAGAAACACTAAGTTATGACTAAATAAATAATTTCTCTAAATAAATTCTCTAAATAGCTCAAATATGAAAAATTGGTAAACTAAAAGCTGGATGGTTTGTACCTTTAACATATCAGCTGCTTCCTTTCTTCGCTGTGCCATGTCCTCAGATTCAGTCAGAAGATCATCCAGTAACAATGATTTGTATAGCTGTCCTACTAACTCACTCTGAAGAGTATCCTTCACGTGATTGACTAAAAAATGCATTACTGCCTTTGGCACACTGAAAATAGTGAAAGTTAATAAAATGTTGTTATTCTTACTGTTTTTTTAACCTTAATTCCAATTGTTTAGAACACAGCATACATACTTATGTAGCAATTTTTTAAGCTCTTTGGCCATTTTATTATTTAACTGACCTCTATGAGATTCCTTTACAGCCATATACATTCATTCAGCTCTAAGAAATAATTAGGAGAACAAATAGGATTTGTATATGACTTAAGGGATTGTATGGTCAAATGTATAGCAATTTTCCAATTTAGTGTTTCTGTTACTTGCCTTATTAATGTTTCTTCTTACTCACAACTAATCCTGATTTACTTACTTACTCACAAGTGAACTTGATTTTAACATAAGAAATATGTAGAACTAAGAGAAATCTCAGAGAGGTCAGTTTAGAGCAGAGGTGTCAAACACTCCTGAGAACAGCCCAACACAAATGTAACTGGAAAATATTTAACAATGTAAAAATACAATAAAACAGAGACAATATTACACTTTAAAACTAAGTCAATAACTGATAAATGAACGAACGAACAAACAAACAAATAAATAAATAAAACTAAGTCAACCTGAAGGAATTCTTAGGGATGGATTAGTGGCCCCCATTTCTATTTGTTTGGCACCACTGGTTTAGAGAAGACAGAAGGGAAGAAAATCTGAAACTCAAAATCTTATGGAAGTGAATGTTGAAAACTAAAAATTAATAAATAAATTGTTTTTAAAAATCACTATTGGTGTTCTACTAAAGAAAATAAATAACATCCCCACCAAAAGTAAACAAATTTTTAAACTTTATTGTTTGGTATTACTACTCTTCTAAAGTTAGGTAGTACCAAAGAAGTAAAAATCAATTATACTGGTAAGGTTTTAGACTATATGGATTTCATATCCTTGATATTAAGGGCTCTTCTCATTAATATTAATTATATTATATATTAATTACATATTAATATTTAGCATAAAAGTGAATCAGTAAAATGTTCTTTTTTTGTTCATGTCAGGAGGATTCTAAATTCATAATTATCAGTTTAAATAGAAAAATAAAAGCATTCATCACAGTTGGTAGCTTCTTTTAATACTAACCTGTCCTGTATATTCTTCCTGACAATAAGAAAATATGATTTGATAAGTCTTTCAATAACCTCACAATCTCGCTGTTCCCGGGCAGATAGTTTACGTGCAACTGGCACAGGCTACAAGGAAAAAGTAGAATTTTAACCTTTTGTTTCATTTTACCTTTTTGACAGTATTTTTAAAAATCTGAAAGCAACAGTTTTGAACCAATAATTTAAAAATTTTTTAAATTAAAATCAGTCTTTCAATTTTTTTTATTAAAATAATTACTTTGTCTCATATTTAGACTTAACTAAGAAATTTTTTAGTAAATTTGTCCATATGTACTAATATCTATGCAGTCCCCAAATCCTCACCACATCCAATAAATTCACAGCATGGCCTTTTTGTGGACTGGCTGGCATAATGGGAATTGGTTTTGATTTTTCTTCAGCTAACAGTTCTTCAGCTTTTGAAGTTTTCAGCATTCCTCTCCAGTTGCCTGTTGTTGGTTCTTGAGCCCCATCACCTATACCACCTACAGGTACCATCTGAAAAAAAAAATGTGAACACACATACTCATTAATAATAAGTAGACATTCACATTCACTGGCCGTCAAATACAACTCTGCATATTTAAGCCCCAAACATTTTGATTTATCAGACTTTTTATGGAGGCAGCAGCTCATAACTGTGTAAAATACTATACATCTAGAATCCATTTGATCTGACATAGTTCAAAAAAGATTCTGTCATACTGTTTCCAAAATTACAGGGAATATATCAGTCTCATTCATGGTCCTTACTTAATCCTTAACTTTTCAACATTTGTCAACTCTGCAAAATTTGCCAAATCTTGCCAAGGGATAAGTATAATGTGAGCAGGAACACAACTCATTACAACAAAGACCAACAAGAAAATGACAACTAGATCCTCAAATCTGTGTTAATCTTAACCCATGAAAACTTCCTTGAATCTTCTTATGACCACCAGATTGTCCTCCCCCAAACACAAAATTACACACACACACACACATTTTAGGCAATTGGGGTTAAGTGACTTGCCCAGGGTCACACAGATAGTAAACTAGTAAGTGTCTAAGGCCAGATTTGAACTCAGGTCCTCCTGACTCCAGGGCTGGTGCTCTATCTACTGTGCCATCTAGCTGCCCCAACACTTATATTTTCATCAGAAGTCCTATGAATTTTCATAGAATATAAGAAAAACAAACATTCTTTTTTTTGGGGGGGCTAGGCAATGGGGTTAAGTGACTTGCCCAGGGTCACACAGCTAGTGTTATGTGTCTGAGGCCGCATTTGAACTCAGGTCCTCCTGACTCCAGGGCCAGTGCTCTATCCACTGCACCACCTACCTGCCCCAAAAAACAAACATTGTTAAGTGAAATAAACCATTGTACACTCCTATGATTGCAATTTATATTGAATTTTACTCTCAACTCAAAGAAAAGAACCATGCAAATTATACCTTGGAGGTAGTACTGCCAGTTACTAGTCCTGTTGCCTTTCTGTGATTTTTTTTCCTTTCAAAACTGCCTGCTCTAAATATTAATTTTTAATATGATTTGACCTTTATATTAACAATGAGTTTTACTTTGTTCTGAATAGGTGTTTGTTTTTTTAGGGAGGGGGAAGGGTCAACAGAAATATGTCACAAACCTGTATCTCTCAAAGACAGTCCTAGACCCTGTTGAATTGAATCTAACAACAGTGGTGAAAATCAATGACAGCAACATTTGGCACAAGTGATTTTGCATTTAATATTTCTTAATTTCCACCAAGAGGCTCAACTTTTATTTATTTTCAAGAGGCTCAACTTTTAAAAAGAATCAGGTAACAAGCTCCTACTTCCTAGCAGCTTAAGGAAGAATACATTATCCAAAGCACCACTAGTTAATATTTATTTAGCAAAATAGCACCTGCCCTAAGGGAGCTTAGTCTAAAGAGATAAGGACATACATGTAACAAATTATATGAGATAAATATGGTCGCCATGGAATCATGACATTCATCAATATTTATATTTGAAGACAGCTTGGTATAGTGTAAAGGAAACTAGGCTAGGAATAAGAAGATATGAATGCTATACTTAGTTTTACTGTTAACTATGGACCTTGAATAAGTCACTTAACTTTTAAGAACATCAATTTTCTCATCAGTAGAGTGAGAATAACTACCTATCTTGTTTAAACAATAAAATGACTGAAACTACAAAATCACTTAATTTTAGCACTGCAAGGGACTTATAGTAAAAAAAAAAAAAGTCACATAGTCCAAACTCCCTCTTTTCAAATTTGAGAAAACTGAAGTTTAGGAGTTAAGTGACTCCCATCATAATAAGTGATATGTAAATGTGAGCAACACATATAAAATTGATTACAATTATTTAAAAACCTTTCCTCAACTTTTCTTAAGTTAAATACAAATTTTGAGAAAAATCAAATATTTAAAAACATAAACCAGAGGATATGAGGTTTTAAGTAGCTAGGTTTGGATATTTAAATCTTTTTTTTTTCTCTTCTAGATCCCACTTTCAGAATGTTGGGGATTAGTCCACTCTTCTCAGAGCCTACCTTCTTTCTCCCACTGAGAAAAGTCATACAAGAAAAGACTAGGGGCAAAACCTTTCACTGGTACTCTGCTCCAGAGGAATGAAACATCAATCGGGCACTTAGCTGCTTCATCACTCAATCAGCCATGGGGCGAATTGTCCCAAGTTAAAGTTTTTTTAAAAAATCCTCTCAATAATTAAATTACAAGGCTTACTCTTCAATTTCCCTACCCCAAAATGTACAACTAATTGAAGAAGTATGATTGTTTCTACCTCCACAACATCTTCTGCATTTGTCCCTTCCTCACTACTCACATAAAACCACTTAGATTCAGGCCCTCATCTCTTCAACTCCCTTCCACAAGTCTCCTCATCCCAATCCATTCTCCACACAGTTGTCCAAATGATTTTCCTTAAACACAAGTTTGGCCATGTCACTTCCCTACTCAAACTCGAGTAGTTGTCTATTGCCTCTAGAATCAAATATAAGTTGTTCTATTTGGCTTTTTTAAAAAAAACATCTCCTTTCTATAATTATGAATACAAACATCTCCCTATACAAAGAACAAAAAGATGACTGCACCAAAAACTGTGAATATCTACTACACACAGGTTAGGATTTTGGGAGTGGAAGAACAACTCAAATTAAATATAGATCCCACACTGCTCCTGTTGTCTGAGTCCTGGTATAATGTTACTCCCCTTTCAGCACTCTGTAATCTAACCAAATCGGCTCTGCCTTTTCTTTATACACCATCAACCTCTAAGTCTTTGCATTGGCTACTTGCCTATAATACACTGCCCCCTCAGCTCTACCTTATAAAATACTTTACTTCCTGAAGGAAGACTCAAATCAAGCACTACCTTTTTATACAAAGCTTCTTCTGATCCCAATTGCTATTGCCCTTCCTTCCCGACATTGTATTTGATAGAATGTAAGTTCCTTAACGACAGGGTTTAGTTCATTTTTTTTTCTTTTTACATCTGGCTCCAAGCACAGTGACTGGCACATAAAGTAATTAATAAATGCTTGCTGATTGATTAGATGAAAAAAAAAGGTTGCCTTAACAGCAGAAACAATTAGAGAGGAGATGTAGCTGGGACAATTCACAAACTAAATAATCCTACACCAAAAAACAAACAAACAAATCATAAGATATAACTCTAGTCCCCAGAAGTTTATCTACTGTACTGCAGAGATGTTCATTCTTAAGTGGAAACTCACTAACAATAAGAAGGTAGATAAGATATTAGTGGGTAAGCCATTATGTTCTAATGAGTCCAGCACAATAAAGGTGTACAAAATACTAGAATCATTTCAATTGCTTAATTTAGAATTTTAGAAAGTTCTGAAACATATCAGTATAAAATTGCTAATATTGGCCACTTTCTTCAAAAACGTAGACAAAAAGGGTGTACGATGAACGTAACAACACAATAAAAAGCAACAAGTACAGATGTCATTGTACAAACAAATTAATATTTTTAGGAAAGTGGTTTTGAAGATGTAAAAAAGGTTTCGATGGGAAACAAAAGCTACCAAACATTTGCATTCTGAGGCAGGAGACTCACATGTTTAGTTTCTCTTCTGTTCTCCTGAATTAACTGTTAAGAGACAGGTTAAACATCCAATTTAACAAGTGAGATTAATAGATTAAATCAACAGATTAAAATTAAAAAAATTATGGACAAACCATCTTTTATTTATATTATGGACATGTATTTCACTGCAAGCAAGAGTAAGCATGTAAACAAGGAAACCTATCCTTGAATAATCTGCATAATTAGAGTAAAAAATTTCAAGAAATTCTTTGTTCAATACTGACTCTAGGTAGGCAGGTTATGTGTAACATTTTATTGCCACCTTATTATGATGAACTGTTTTACAGGTGATTAATGTGCACTAAATAGGAATATGCATGCATGCTTAGATTAAGAATCAGAACAGACCTTGCCATCAGCCTCAGCAGAAGCAGTAGTAGAGGGCTCCTGGGAGGCAGGTGCCAAAGTACCTGGAACTTTAGAAGACTAAAGAAAGCAAGAAATGCAGGGGGAAAAAAAATCAAGGATGCTACCATGTTATTCTATAAAAACATATTTTTTATCAAGCCATAACCCTCTGTAAAAAAGAAGTATGAAAAACAACTGTTTTCAAACACCCAATATATTTCACCTTTTTCAAAGATAGTGTTTTTTGTCATACTATTCAAGGTGTAATCAATAGTTAAAAATATTTCTGTTAGGTTGATACTCCTATTTATTGATAGGAGTATCAAATTCAGAAAGAATTTTTTTGGGGAAGAGTTAGTGTAGCTTTTTGCTAAGAATGTCAACACATTTTCCATATTTGTTTTATAAGTTCAATAACCTGTAGGTATGCGTTCATTTTCTTTTTAAGTCTTTCGTCTCAAATCAAATCTCTAAAAGTTCCCAAAGTCACATGAAAGATTAGTACATTACAGTACTGTGTTAGTCTTCACAAAATTTAAGTAATGTCTTTGGCAACATGAACAAATCTGGCACATCCATCTCTTCAGATATAAAATAGCCTTTAATGTTCAATTTTGTGGTTTAATTTAATAAGATCCCTATATGTTGAAATTTAGAGGCAGCAATGTTATAGTAGATGAGTGCTGGCAATAAGTCAGAAAGATCTCAGATTAAGTACTATCATTGACTACATGTGTAACCATGAGTAAGAGACTTGATTTAAGTGCCAGGCAACTGGTCAAGCCAGCCAAGGCTAAAAGTTATAGAAGAGCTGCTGATGGGGAGGGAGTTTCCACATAAAGGAGTAGCCCATGGTATTGAAATCACAGGTTTGGACAAAAAATAAAGTGTTTAAGGCCTGGCAATATACAATATATTCAAATACAATCCCTCAGTTATTCTAGTGTATTTAACAAAAGAATCTATTATCAAGAGACAACCATATTTTATAATCTTTTACACTTAAAAATGTATTTCTGCTTCAATTTTTAAATATAAAAGCAATATAGCTTCTGATTACTAAACTGAAACAATGCCAATTATTCCAAATGTCTAGGTTAATGACACATTTAAAAAACAAAATTGTTTTACCTTGTCCCGAGGCATTGTTGAAGGTAACTCTCTTGCTAACCTATTTCTCCTTTGTTCCTGTGAATCAAAAAATATTTGATTATGCCTTAATGCACTTAAAGCACTGTCCTTTTACTTAAAGATTGTTCTGAATTATAGACATTGTCACAAATGGTATTTCAAAATGTTATGAGTAAGAAGTAAGAAGTAGGCAAGAAATTGCTTTTAGCCACAGATAATTTGGTGTATAAGCTTAATAGTTTAACCAGAAATATGTTATCCTTTAAATTATACACAGATAACTGTGACAATATTTGAAAACTCAAATTTATGATAACAAGACTCTTAAAAACTCTTTCCTTTGACTACTTGCCAGGAAAGTAGCAACAGTGTCAGGAACTAACACTTAGTATGGTGATCAGGCTTATTTAAACAAGACAATTATTGAAAAACTGACCATTTTTGAGTTCATCATTTAATTGTGAATGTTAGTAATTACAATAGCAAGACAGCAAGGCTAGAATTACTGTGATGATTTCGATTAAAGAATTAACAGCAAATCTCTCAACAGGCAGCATTTCAAATTCCAAATGCTTTGCTTCAAGGATCTTATCAGCTATAAATGTGTTTAAAGTAAAATGAAGACAAATTGTCTTAGAAATGAAAGCACTTCTATATTTTTAAAAGGTAGAGTAATAGAACAAGGATTACACATAGTCAGTTATTCTATAACAGGAAAAAACTTCTAAACACTGTTGTATATTCTCATTAGCACTCAGTCAATCAATAAGCATTTATTATAGGTCTGCTATGAGCCAAAACTGTGCTCAGTACTGAAAGGACTGAACTAGATAATCTCTACAATCCTTAGCACTTAATTCTCTAATTTTATGCCCCAGGAGAAGGAGCTCTTTGCTAGAGTCCCAATCAGCAAGGGAAAATAGCACATGAATTATTCTGAGACAAAATTAATAGGAGAAGATCATAGTTTGAAGGAATTCCTCTTTCCAACAGTCTTGCATCAATTCAAGGCCTCCTACAGCTTTTTATATTGCTTCCACATGGGCAGTGACCAACTGATTGGTCATAACCAATGGAAAGCAGGTAGGCTTTGAGAGGCAAAGTACATCCTCTAAACACATACTCATCTGTCCAAATATCTTACACAACATCAGTTGGAACTGTGCAGTTTAGTCTTTCAACCCTAAAGACTTTCAAGTATAACCATCAAAATATTCAATTCCTCCCACATTAAACTCAATTTTAATTCAACTTCCCAACATAATGAAGTTCAAAATTAATTTCCTTGAGAAATAAAACAGAGACCAACAAAATTAATCTTTTTTTTACCTCTATATTATTGTTCATAAGCCCACAGGCATCAGCAAAGTCTGGATGTTTAGTGTTGATGTAGGCCAATTCAATTGCAACTAAGTTATGAACCTAAGGGGAAAAAATGAAGGTAGGGTATTCATTCTATAAGATATTAATCCACTTTTAATTAGAGAAATTACTGCTTATAAAATCTGCCAAATAATTAAAACCAAAAATTTTGACTGAAATACATATTTTGCAAATAACTTTTACCTCAAACTAATCAAATTTCTGTCAGAGAAAATGTTATAATTTTAAAATTACTTAACATATCCATTGGCAGTATTGCTATAATGTTTTCTATAAAGTCTGCTCTCTTTAGTTCCATACTTGCTTTTGATATACGTACAAGGATATGATTTTGCTTCTCAGAACTTTGTAACAGCAAGTGCCTCACTTCCTTACTCTGAGGAATGTAAATGAATCAGTACTTCTTGCTGCAGACTACAAACATGCACACATACTTTTTACACATAGCTATAAATATAAAATGGGCAGCTAAGTGGCACAATGGAGAGAGTACCAGGCCTGGAGTCAGGAAGACATGAGTCTAAATCTGGCCTCAGGGGCAGCTAGGTGGCACAGTGTTTAGAGGGACGGCCCCAAAGTCAAATGAGTTCAAATCTGGCCTCAGACACATAACACTTTCTAGCTGTGTGACTCTGGGCAAGTCACTTAACCCCAATTGCCTCACAAAAGAGAAAAAAAAAGAAGAAAAAAAAAAGAAAACTTAAATCTGGCCTCAGACACTTCCTAGCTGTGTGATCCTGCGCAAGTCACTTAGCCTTGTTTGTCTCAGTTTCTTCAAAATCTATAAAATGAGCTGGAGAAGGAAATGGCAAACCACTCCATTATCTTTGCCAAGAAAACCCTAAATCAGGTCATGAAAAGTAGGACACAACTGAAAAATGACTAAACAACAACAAAGGGGGGCGGTTAGCTAAGAGGGTAGAGAAAAGGCAGCAACTTGCCTGAGATCCCCCCAAAACCCATCTGAACACCTTTAAATAATGCCATATCCATTCCTGGAACCCACAAAAGGACGGGATGAAATAATTTCCCAGCCAAAGACAACTTAGGTCAGCAGGAAAGGTCTGTCACACCTGGGTGAGAGTGGTGCATAGTCCAGCATGGGCTGCACCAGCACAGACCAGGTGCAGGTCTTGGGAGACACTGAATCAGCAGCAGCAGCTTCCAGAGCTCTCAACCCACAGATGGTAAGAAGGTGGTCAAACAACTGGTCAAAAGGAGACTACAGGGGTCCCTTTGCTAGCACTGGGGCAGTACTCTGTTGCTTTGCCCAGACTCAGATTTGGATCATAGTCCTGGGTGGCAGTACCAGGGTGAGAAGAAGCACTAGCACAGCAGACCTCATAGCCACAGTGAAGCAGGGACCCTAGTCACAGTTCCAGGATAGAAAAGAGTGCTTGTCGTCCATCATAGACCAAAGCAACAGGCCAGAAGAGGAGTAAACACACCTCTCCTTGGATCATACCACCTTGGAAGAACTGAAAACTTACAGGTCCCTAGAAGGATACCTGAAAAGAGCTGCACAAAACCCCTGAAGTTTGGGACAGTGTGCCCTCCACCCCGGAAGCAGAGTTCTACTTTAACAAAGAATTAAAAGTCAAGAAACAGGCAGGGAAAATGAGCAAACAATAGAAAATAATTCTGACTATAGAAAGGTATTATGGTGACAAGGAAGATCAAAACACACACTCAGAAGAAGATAGCAAAGTCAAAGCTCCTCCATCCAAAGCCTCCAAGAAAAATAGGAATTGGTCTCAGGCCATGGAAGACCTCAAAAGGATTTTGAAAATCAAGGAAGAAAGTCAGAGGAACAACGGGAAAAAGAAATGAGTGATGCAAGAAAATCATGAAAAATGAGTCAACAGCTTGGTAAAGGAGACACAGAAAAATATTGAAGAAAATACCTTAGAACACAGACTAGCCAAACAGTAAGAGGTCCAATAAGCCAATGAGAAGAATGACTTAAAAAGCAGAAGTGATAAAATAGAAAAAAGAGGCACAAAAATTCACTGCAGGAAAAAATTCCTTAAAAAGTAGAACTGGCCAAATGGAAAAGAAGATACAAAAGCTCACTGAAGAAAATAATTCCTTAAAAATTAGAATTGAGCAAATAACAGATTCCATGCTGTCTTGCGGGGAGAGGGAAGGACAGGGAGAGGAAGAAAATTTAAAACTCAAAATGTTATGGAAGTGAATGTTGAAAATTAAAAATAAATAAATTATTTTTAAAAATACACTTAAAAAAATGGAAATGATAAACAGGATGCTCTCACAAAAATCTGGAAAGACTTGCATGAACAAAGTGAAATGGGCAGAACCAGGAGAACATTGTACAAAGTAATAGCAATACTGTAGGATGATCAGCTGTGAATGACTTAGCTACTCTCAGCAACACAATGATCCAAGACAACTCTGAAGGACTTAGGATGAAAAATGCTATCCATCCGCAGAGAAAGAACTGATGGTGTCTGAATATAGATTGAAGCATATTTCTTTTAGTTTACTTTTCTTGAAGTTTTTGGATTTTTGGTCTATGTTTTCTTTCATAACATGACTAATATGGAAATGTTTTGCATGACTACACATGTATAACCTATATTGAATTGCTTGCCTTCTCAATGCGGGAGGGATGGGGAGGAGGGAAAGGGAAGAAGGGAGAGAATTTGGAACTCAAAGTTTTAAAAATGAATGTTAAAATTTTTTTCACATTTAACTGGGGAAAAACAAAATACTAAATAAATTTTAAAAAACAAACAACATAAATATAAATAAAACTTTGTTAGCATCTTTACATATTAAATGTTTAATTCTCTGCTATGTAATCTGAATAAGCATTTCACATATAAAAAATTTCACAGGGAAAAAAACTCCATAAGCAGCTGCATCAAGTTTTTGATAGTGAGTCTTTCAAGTGAGTACTTTAAAGAATAAGCCAAGGTCACTCTCCTGGCATTGCCTGATAAGTGAAAAGATAGTACTTTCTGGAAGTATTGCCCATGACTTGGAATGCATCCTATAATTGTTAGTTCTTTTTTTGCTTTTACACCTTAAACCAGTTGAGGTTCCCCCTTCGTCCCCAATAACAACTTCATAGATGATTGGGAAGTTATGACAGCGGACTGAGAGTCTATTTCTAAAGAGAGGAAGACCTAGGATTAAATATGTGCCTTTGACACACACTGGCTTTGTGACCCAGGGCAAGTCTCAGTGAACTGGGCAATTCTCTAAGATTATAAAATGCAGAGAAGGAGGTAGAGGGAGTTTCTTCACCTGAGAGTTCCCATTACAAATGAAATTACAAATCTGGTCTCCATCCCTAACTTCATAGGTAAGAAGTGCCTGTTGGAGCTCAAATGACTTCATAGCACCTGAATTATTGCTAGGATCAATCACATGGTAAGGAAATATTCCAGTTACATAATCACATCCACCCAACCACTTAAACGATCTCAAATACTGGCTATAGAAACAGAAGGAATAGATAACACAATGCTTCCTCAATAATCACTGTCAAAGAACCCTTCCAAAAAGGAGGGCATATCTCTAGCACACAGAGATAGGCCCTTTCCTATACAAAAAAGGGAAAAGATACTCTTTACATAGAAATGAAAGTGGGATCCTTTAGGCTGTCAACTCTGTCCAGATTGGTGTGATGTGGCAGTTCTTGCAATTAAGGTTGAAAAAAATGGAAGTCTATTTATTTTTTAAAAAACTTAATATCTAGTTCCATGGCATGTGCAATTTTGATATTAAAACTTCAGATGTCTCACTATTCGAGGCCAATTTCTGTTCAGTTCAACAAATACAATAATGTGTAAATAAGAAAACAAATATTATTAATTTTACCTTATGACGACATATTTAACTGCAACATTGAACTTTCGTGCAAAATATCAGTGACATCATAGTAATATATACCAAACAGGGCCAAGAGAGCAAAGTGAATAAAACAGATGTCATATCTTGGTCAGCTACTTGTGGTACTGTTGAAAGATCACTGGACCTGGTGTTAGGAAACCTGAGTTCAAGTCTTGGTTCTGACATTTATTAGCTAAGACATTTCTAAGCTTCTTGTTTTCCTCTGCAAATTATGACAATACTTTCACTATCTAATAAAAAAAACCCCAGTTTTCTTGGATTAAATAATGAAAGTATTATCCTATTTTGTCAAAAAAAAAACTTTCAGCGAAAGGCAGAGTGTGGTACCCTCTGGAAGGGATCTTGGCTGGTGGGAAGGCAAGGGGAGGGGAGGGCACCACATAGCACCTGCTCCTGCCAGAGGGTCTAGAATACTAGAATTTTAGGGAAGGAGTTAGTCTGATACTTGAGAAAAAAAATGTGCTGATAGGGTTTTCATCAACAAACTTGAAATACAATTGTAAATCAACAGAAGAAAAACAAATTGAAGTAGTACTCGAAGTTAACTTAAATGTTCCTCTGTAATTCAGATTACAGATTATACATGCAGTGTACCTTAAGAATAAAAAGGTGGCTTTTTAATTAAGATTTAAAACGTCATAGTTTTCATTACATAAACAGGGCTATATAAACCATACTGCTGACATTCACAATGTTTAACAAGAACTTAGTTCTCATGAGAAACTATTTTTAGGCCAACAAGATTACAATCTGTAAAGAAAAAAATTAAATCAGTATTTGATTATCTTGATTTATATTAAGCTTTAAATTCTTGATTTTGATTACCTGGCAATCAAAAGCACTAGTCTTAGCTAAATTCCTTATTGTAAATAAGATATTTTGCAAGAAGATAACCACTCAAAAAAGATCTTTAAAAATACCACTAAATATAATTAGTCAAATAACAGCTCACCATTTCATTTGTAACTGGTAACCTCTTACGAAGAAGACAAGTAACTACTTCAACTATAGCATCATGAAGTTTGGGAAACCTCAGCAATTCCTAAATTGAAGCAGAGGGAACAAAAATACAATCATAAATTCCTGTGGTCTGAAGGAACATCAAATTAGTCATGGTATTTCTTTAAAAAGAAAATTTCCCAAAGAAGGAGGAAGAAATCTACCTTCTAGCCATCTCCCCTAACCTCCCACTGAGAAAGCAAAGAAAAAAAATCCTATTACAAATGGATATAGTCAAGGGAAACAAATTACCAACTCGGTCATGTCCCCAAAATTGGTCTCAATCTGTCAAGAGATGAGTAGCATGTTTTATCATGAGTTCTTTGAAACTGTGTTTGGGCACTCTGTGAGTGACAGTTCCTAAGACTTTCAAAGTTGATTGTCCTGCATATTTTACTTTACATCAATTCATACAAATGTTCCCATATTCCTCAATCCTTCAAGCATTCCATCACATACATATACTTGTTCAGCCATTCCTGAATTAATGGGCACCCCTTCAGTTTCTAATTCTTTGTCACCACAGAGCTGCTAATTTTTTTTTTTAATGTATGGGTCCTTTACCTCTTTTCTTTGATCTCTTAGGGATGTAGACTTAGTAGCAGTTTCACTGAACTAAAAGGTTTGAACAGATTAACAACTTTTTGGGTATGGTTCCAAAGGACTTATAGGCAGCCCTGATCAGTTCACAGCTCTACCAACTGTGTATTATTATACTTGTTTTCCCACAGCTCCTCCAGCATATCAGTTTCTTTTTTCTGTCAACTTTGCCAATCTGATAGGTATGAGGTGGTTATTTTAATCTACAATCTAATTTGAGATGTTTAATCAACATTTCGTAGTTGTTTTAATCTATATTTCTCTAATGATTAGTAATTAGAAGGGGGAAGGGGCCAGCAAACTATGGCTTGCAGGCAAGTCCCTAATGTAGTACTCTACAGTTAAGAATGATTTTTACATTTTAAAATAGTTTTATTGTATTAAAAAACATAAAAACCCTTCTTCCTTCAGGGGCCATACAAAAATAGGCAGAGGGCCAACTCTGGTGCTATAGTTTGGCTATCTCTGATTTAGAGCATTTTTTTCATATATACCTATTGTACCAATCTGTTCCCATGTACTAAATTGTTTTGATGATTAATAGCTTTGAAGAGGGGCCGCTAGGTGGCGTAGTGGATAGAGCACTGGCTCTGGATTCAGGATGACCTGAGTTCAAACCCAGCCTCAGACACATAACACTAGCTGTGTGACCCTGGGCAAGTCACTTAACCCCCATTGCCCAACCAAACAGACAAACAAAAAAAAATAGCTTTGAAGTACAGCTTGAAATGTAGTACTGGTAGGATCCCTTCCTTTACATTTTGTTTTATCTTGACTTTTTGTTCCTCCAAATGAATTCTATTATTTTTCTAGTTCTATAAAGTAATCTTTTGTGCACTTGATTGGTATGGCACAAGATAAGCAAATTAGTTTAGGTAGTATTGCCACTTTCATTATATTGCCTTGGGCTAAACATGAAAAATTAGTATCTCTCCAACCATTTGCACATATATTTGTGAAAAAAGTATTTTAGAATTATATCCACATAGTTCCTGTGTGTGTCTTAGCAAGTAGATTCCTGAGTATTTTATACCATCTGTAGTCACTCTTATGTGGAATTTCATCTATCTCTTCTTTCTAGATTATGGTGGTAGTACACAAATGCTAATGATTTATGTGAGTTCATTTTATATAGTTTGAAAGCTTGCTGAAGTTGTTCATTTAGCTTTTCCTCTATGTATTTACATGCTATGCCATTTAATGCATATGTTTAGTATTTTTGTGAGCGTATATGCTTATACATATATATTAGCTATATACTTACAAATATAAATGTAATTTCCCTATTTACACATTTTAATTAAGTGTATTTTTGCCACTGCCTTGTCTGAAATTATGACTGCTACCTCTACATTTTGTGCTTCAGCTCAGATGCATAATAGATTTTGCTTCAGCCTCTTGTTTTAAGTCTATGTGCAACCTTCTCTTTTAAGTGGTTTTTCTTTTCACTGTTGTTTGGATTTCTGCATTACAATCTGTTCTACTATCTTCTTCCATTCTATGGGGGAATTCATTCCATTAATAGCTGTGATTGTTAACTGTACATTTCCCTGCATTCTCTTCTCTTATAGTTTTGTTTTCTTCTTTCACCCTCTTCAGAGGGAGGGTGACTTGCCTTCTTTAGAAGCAGGATGATGAGAAACAAGGAGTGAGCTCAGCACCAGTGCTCTATTTTGAGCATAAACTTCTACTGTTCCCCTGCCCCTCTTCTCTTTTTTTCACCCAGAGTCTAATAATAGGAGTTTAATTCTCTTTTCATTTAATTACCTCTTTGAAATTCATCTTCTTCAGTTAGAATTTGTTTTAAGACTAATCCTTCCCTCCATCTGCTCTCCTTCTTATTCCCACTTCTCCCTTTGTTCTTTTCCCTCTTGTTTGTTGTGTTAAGTGAAATGTATTTCTATACTCAACTCTGCTTTGATGTGTGTATTCTTCCTTCCTTTGACCAATTCAAATGAGAATGAGGTACAAGTGTTGTTCATGCCCCAACCCCTTCCTCCTTATTTGTTTAGACTTCTACTTGCACAGCCCAATTATATAAAATAAGGATTCCCCTCATCCCACCCTCTCCTCTCCTCCCACCCAAGCATTCCTTTCTCCCTCATTTTCCATTCTTTTTGTTTTAAAGAGCATCAAAACATAACAGAATCACTCCCAAGCTCTCTGCCTTTATAAGACTCCATCTTTGACCCCCAATAATAAGAGTTCTGAGATAATAAATGTATCATCTCCCCTTATAAGAATGTAATCAGTTTATCCTTGTTTAGTACTTTATGACTGTTTGCTTACGTTTACTTTTTTTTCCTCTTGTCTCCTGTATTTGTATTTCAAAGTTTATCCACAGCTTTGGTCTTTACAATCAGAAATGCTTAGAAGTTCTCCATTTCATTAAAGACCTATTTTTGCCCCCTGCAGGATTATGCTGTTGAGTTTTCTTGGCTAGAAGCCTATTTACTTTGCCTTCTGTGATATAATATTCCAAGTTCTCTGCTCCTTGGTGGCTGCTAAATCATGTGATCCTGATTGTATACCTAGTATCTGAATTCTTTCTTTCTAGCTACCTACAGTACTTTTTAATTTGACTAGAAACTGGATTTGGACTGTAATATTTCTGAGAGTTTTCATTTTTGAATTTCTTTCAAGAGGTGAGTCCTTTCTATTTCTTTGTCCTCTTGGTCTGAGAGTTCTGGGCAGTTTTATGATTTCTTGAAATATGTCTAGGCTTCCTTGTCTATGGCTTTTAGTGCAATAATTCTTAAATGATCTTGCTTTGATTTGTTTTCCAGTCTGTTGGGGTTTTTTGCCTATGAGATACCTTAACTTTTGTTTGTTTGTTTTTTCAGTCTTTTGACTTAAATTTTTTTTTTTGTCTCATGCAGTTGCTAGCTTCTATTTGGTCAATTCTAGTTTTCAGGGAGCTTTTTTTTTTTAAAGGCAGTTGAGGTTAAGTGACTTGCCCAGGGTCACACAGCTAGTAAGTTTCAAGATTTTGGTCTGAGGCCAGATTTGAACTCAGGTCCTCCTGACTTTAGGGCCGGTGCTCTATCCTCTGTGCCACCTAGCTTCCCCCCCCCTTTTTTTGGTAAAGAAAAGTAGTCTAACAAAACTAAACAGCATATAAATTAAATTAGACAGTATTTGTAATGTTCTATATCCAATGTTTTTCCACCCCAGTAAATTATAAGGGGAAAGATTTTTTTTCCATCTTTTCTGGGTCAAGCTTGGTCATCATACTCACAAATTATTTAGTTTTGATTTTTTGTTTAAGTGTTTTTTAAACTGTTTTTTCTATTTACATTGTTGTAGTTATTGTGTTCTTGGTTCTGTTTCACTTTACATATATTCAAAAATCTTCCCATGGTTCTCTGAATTCTTTATATTGATGTTTATATACTCCATTATATTCATATACTTTTACTTACTTAGCCATTCCACAATCAATGGATATCAATAGTTTCCAGCTCTTTGCTACAATAATAGCTCTAACATCTATGTAGCACTCTAAGGTTTACATACATATCTTCATAACAGCCTTGAGAGGTAGATGCTGTTATCATCTTCATTTCACAAATAAGAAAACTGAGGCAGACAAAGGTTAAGTGACTTGTCCTGGTTCAAACATCTAATATGCATCTTAGTGTTGCGGGGGAGGGAGAAGCTAGGGGGCACAATGGACAGAGTGTTGGGCTTAGAGTCAAAAGGACTCATCTCCCTGAATCTCCCTAAATTCGAATCTGGCCTTACACAATAACTATGTGATGCATTTCTCTCATCTCAAAAATGAACTGGAGAAGGAAATGGCAAACTACCATCTTTGCCAAGAAAACCCCAAATGGCGTCATAAAGAATTACAGACAACTGAACAAAGTCTGAACAAGTATCTGAGGCCTACTGTGAATTCAGTTCTTCCTGACTACAGGTTCAGGGCACTATTCACCACTCCATCTAATCTAGTTACTATAATAAGTACTATTATAAGTATTTTTTGTATATATGGGAACTAATTTTCTGACTGACCAGTGTGATACATGTCTAGAACTGAGATCTCTCTAGGTCATAGGATTTTACATACTTTTTAAAAATTATAATTCCAAACTTCTTTCCAGAAGGATTGGACCAATTCACAGATTGGCAGATTTTTTTTCTTATAACCCTTGTCCTTGTTCCAGACACCTGGTATCCTAATTTTAGTGATGTATGCATAATTGAGGCTCTTTACTAATGATACTGTTTAAATGTATATTTCTTACCTGGGTACTATAATTGCTACAATGCTGAATAATTCTTTGCATTTCCTCATGAACTAGCTCCACACAACGAAGGCTGGGCTCCTCTAACCGTTTAATTTGTCTCTTCACTAGTAATTCAAATGAAACTTCTGGCACAAACAAGGCAGGACGTGGCCCCTGAAAAAATTTATTTTAAAATGTAATTTTAATTTATATCTCATAAGACCTAGTCATTATCATGTGATTATCTCTTTTTCCTACAAAAAAGATAGTTATATTTTTGTGAGTGATTTTTCTTAATATCGAATGAAAGGTCAAACTACACTATATTATACATAAAAGTATATATTCACACACACACACACACACACACACACACACACACACCCTTTGCCTCATTTTAAAATACACCTTGAGTTTAAAAGAGTACTTACGGTAGCATTTCTAATGGCAGTCAAAATATCAATTGTATTAAGGCCACCCAGAGGGTCAACAGACTCTAATGTTCTCCCAAAGGTTTCATGAAAAATATAACATATTCTAGCACCACCACACCTGGAAAGCCAAAGCAAATAATACTAGTATTAAAAAAAAAAGATTAGACTTCTTGCTTTAAATTTATAATATTCACTATATTTCTTATATACCTATAGGTAACAGAAAAAAACCCATCATTTAGGGGTTTTCTATGTTCATGTATTAAATCTGTTGGTGGTCAGTCATTTTTCAGTTGTGTCTGACTCTTTGTGATCCCATTTGGGGTTTTCTTGGCAAACATACTACAGTGATTTGCCATTTCGTCTCTGGCTCATTCTATGGATGAAGAAACTGAGGCAAAGAGAGTTTAAGTGAGTTGCCCAGGGTCACAAAGATAGGAAGTGTCTGAGGTCAGATTTGAATTCAGGAAGATGAGTCTTCTTGACTCCAGGCCTGGCAATTTATCCTTTGTACCACATAGCTGCCCTTATATTATTATATTATATTATATTATATTATATTATATTATATTATATTATATTATATTATATTATATTATATTATATTATATTATATTATATTATATTATATTATATTATATTATATTATATTATATTATTAAATACACCTTAATGGTATACCATGAAGATCTTTCCCTTATCAAAATCAAAGGTAATAAGCTCACCTACATCAAAAGGTATTAGCAACAGAAGAAATCCTCAAATTCCTTTATTTTAATTATATGTCAATTTAAAATAAACACTAGGGCTTAATTCCAATAAACTATACATAAAGCATTTCTAGAAATACTTATTTGAGAGAAAGCATGTTGTAGTGGACAGAAAGCTGGTGTCAGAGTCACGAATACTTGTGTTTAAGTCTTACCTGTATGACATTACGGCTGTGTGAATAAGGGCAAGTAATTTAGCATCTTAGTGCCCTAACCAAATCACTGAGGCTATAAATATTACTATCTTCACACTAGAAGTACTCTCTGAATCAATTACATAAATTGTTACTTACAGCTCAGAAGTCTCTATATATTTTGCAGTTCCTTCAATTGTGTTGCAATATTCTGTGGCAAATTTAGTAATAAGTTGCAATAAAGTAGCACTCTTGTCATCCACAGGTTCACCGTAGCTATTTAGGAGAGACTGGTATTGAGCAGCTAAAACATTTATTCTTGTTTTCAGTTCTGGCAAGCAATCCCTAATGTGGTGCATCAATAACCTAAGGGAAGAGAATGTGAATTGTGGAAATACTGCACAAAAATTTGAGGCTATCAATCATCTCACAAGGCATAAAAATCTATATCACATAAGTCAAAACGTATATTGAGCACCGAAATTCATCAAATATGGGAGGGAAGTTAATATGGTGACCAAAAAAAAATCAAATTAGATGAAATTCCTTAAGAACAATTTACTGTAATGGTATGTCAAAAATATAAATGAATATATTTTAAACTGGATTTAGGGAATCCTGACTATTAAGAATTAGAAAGGTGCCTCGAAGAATATCCTCTTGAGCTAGGCTTTGACCCCAGAAATCATTCTTCATTACTATTGTAGAGAAACATCTATTCCATGTAGACTAGGCTAATTTTCCCTAAAATGGGACTAGAATCATCCACAAGATGAAACTGATATAAAGGACTAATTCTCAATTCATTAATATCACTTCCTGGTCACCCTAAGGCATAAAAAGCCATTCACACAGTCAGTTGGCTTAAGTAATGTGAATGATGTCCTACTGTTATATTCCTTCTGAATGTGCATATCATCCTAGTAATGTGGGGATAGGGGTGCCCAAATGAATCAAAGTTAGTGCAAATGAACTAACGTCTTATTCCAATCCCACACTCAAATCATTTTGACTAGCATGAATCATCAGGTTTGGTCCATATCATTACTATGATATCCCTAAAATATCCCAAATAACAGACTCTTTACAACATCCCTAAAAAAACACTATGTATAAAACATTACTGATGGTAGGTAGATTTAACAAGCAATATTAAAACCACTGGTAATTAGCTGTAAATTAAGAGATCTAGAAAATGCACCAGACCAAATGCTGATAGGGAAATCCAGAAAAAAGTCACAATGATTCCCTTATGCAGCCCAACTCAGTACAAGGAAAGTGACAAGAAGGTCTGAGTTGAGCAAGGGCTGACCAAGAGCACACTGCACAGAGCACTCCTGTGCTCAGGGAGAGGCTGTGTGCCAGGGCAACGCGGGATCCTTGAATCACACAAGGCAACCCCAGGCCCATACCAGGACTACAGATGTTTATAATGAGTTTTGTTCTTCTTGTGTTTTCAATTGGAGGAGTGGGGCTGGGCAAAAATGTTTGAGGAGGAGGGTGAAAAGGCAAATCTTAGTCAAAATAAATAAAAATTTTAAAATAATGTATCAAAAGAGGTGCTTTGAGTCAGAAGCATTACAACACACTTCAATTTTTAAAAATAATAATAACGTTTAAGTGGGGAGTCTAAATTTTGGCATCAAGATTTAAATGACTTGCATCTTTCTGTTGTGGTGACTCAAGGAGTGATCTTAAAAATCCTCAAAGCACAAATATTTACAAATCTAAAGCAATCTGATTTCTGATTTAAAGAACAGTCCAATTTTAACCTTTACACACATACAAAAAGATGGGCATTTCTATATACACAAAACAGAAAATGAGGATAGCATATGAAAGTGTGAATCTCTTTTTCCTAATTCTTGCTTTTTATAAAAGTACATACTAAATTCAACATGTTACATTCAATACTGTCCTTTCTGAACTTAGTTTGTTCTCCTCTGTACACTTTTTAAAATATTTCAATAACCCTCTTCTTCTTTTCACTTTCCTTTTTTTATGCATCCTTGCCCCCACCCTCCTCTATCCCCATTTAATTAAAAACAGGAAAATCTTTTTTTCATAATAAGTTAGCATTTATAAAGTGCTTTAAGGTTTGCAAAGCACTTTAAAACTCTTATTTCATTTGATCCTCACAACAAAACTTAATGCTATTATTATCTCCATTTTACAAATGAGAAAACTGAGGCAAGCAGAGATTAAGTGACTTGCCCAGGATTACATAGCTAAGTATCTAAGACCACAGTTAAATTTACATCTGAGGCCCAGTATTCCATCCACTGCCTCACCTAGCTACCTCCAATAAGCAGTTAAACAAAACAAATTCACATGGTGGCCATTTCTAAATTTGTATGTCTCCCTCTAAAGTTTGAGCTCATCAAATCTATCAGAAGATGGGCTTCATCAAGGGTCCTCTGATGTACCTTGTGTGAGTGCTTTGATCAATTCTTAAAGCCTTTCAAAGCTGCTGTTTTTTTGTTTTATAGTGTTATTGCCTTTTCTCCTTGATCTGCTCATTTCTACATTAGTCATACTTCCAAAGATTGTCTGAAATTATTTTCTTCATCACATCTTAACATACACTATTTCATTATATTCTTATACCGCAATTTATTCAGTTCCCCCAATTGATGGGTACTCCCTTAGTTTCTAGATCTTTTATTTCCTTTTAATTCTCTTCAAGATCAGGAAGCATGATCATCCCTTTCAACAATCCCCTTAGATCCTAACCTGTCTCCCTTTTGAATATATGTGTGTTGTATACATGAGTATGTGTGTTCAACTCTCTTTTGTCTGGTCAGAAAGAATGAGGTTCATGTGATGCCGCCATCTTCTATATTTACATATTCTTCTATCCATGCTGTTGTTGTCCTGTTTTCAAAGAGGACCAATGACATCACAGGGTGATGTCTTAACTTGCACATGAATTGGATTTAAGTAAGGCAGACAGAGCTGCACAAAGTCGTCAGACTAACTCACTCTTCCAGAGTCACTGAAGGCCAGTGGCAAGACAAAAGTCAAGCCTACTGGTAACAGCCCAGGATGCAGCAGACAACCTTGGCCTCTTCGATTTCTGACCAAGCTCCAAGTGTTTCAGCTGCCTTCCTGTTCCTTGGAACAAACTGTTCTCATCTCACAATTCCACCATGAGAAGTCTTCACATGTTGGGGTAGAGATCCCCCTAAAACTGAAAGGTTTGAGGTCTATTGGTTACCCTCAACCTGGTTTAGTCTGTCTAGTTTTATAGGGATGTGGCAGCTTTTTGGAGCCATAGATGAGATTTGGGTGGTAGGTGGACACCAAAGGTCAGTTGGTTGTTTTTCCTGAAGAAGACCAAAATGAAGCCAGAGTGAAGGGAATTCAAGGACCAAGGAACTACACCTGCTGCCACTATTATCAATGAAAAGAGGTCTTGAAATGCCATATTCTAAAAATCAAAAGATATAGGCTTACAACTAAGACATAGCTTACCCTGCAAAACTACTTGCACATATAACTTATAAAGGGGAAAAAATGGGACCTTGATAGAAGAGGACATTCAAGCATTTCTGATGAAAAAATGAGATGAGCAAGAACTTTGAAATGCAAATATAAGAATCAAGAGAAACCTAGAAAAGTAAAATCATTTGCACAAGTGGAAGGAGCTATATGATGAGGTCGTACTAATCTTCTAAGAACAGACAAGTGTTCCTACAGAACTTTAATGTCTTAAAACACAGTTAAAAAGAAAAGCAGATGATTTCAGGGTGGATTGATTCTGTTCTTGAGTGCTTTAAGGGAGGAAAGAAAAGGGAAGGTAAAAGGACAGGAGAAGAAAGGAATGGAATTTATTAATTCTTGTAATAGGGGTACACGAACAGAGAAGTGTATGGAGTGTTCAAGGGGCACTAACACTACACAGTGTACTTTGACCCTGACATCATACAATCTATAGACTGCATATAGAGACGCAATGTGTAAAAAGGCTGGAATGGGAAGGGGCCAAGTGGTAAAGACACTTAAATGCCAAACAAGATAGTTTATTTGATCTTAGAGGTAATAGAGAGCTACTATAAAGCAATATATGTATTATATATTTAAGTGATACATATTATATATTATATATATATTGATGTATACAATATATAATATTTATATCATATATTGATATATATAAAATATATATATATATATATATATATAAAAATATATATATATATATATAAAAAGCAATCATCAAAACTGGTTGGTACTAGCTAAAAAATAGAGCAGTGAATCAGTGGAATAGGTTAAGTATGCAAGACACAGTAGTCAATGACTATAGTAATCTATTACTTGATAAACCCAAAGACACAGCTTCTGGGATAAGAACTCACAATTTCACAAAAACTGCTGGGAAAACTGGAAATGAGGAGCAGCTAGGTGACACAGTGGACAGAGCACTAGCCCTGGATTCAGGAAGAAATGAGTTCAAATCCGGCCTCAGACACTAACACTTGCTAGCTGTGTGACCCTGGGCAAGTCACTTAACCCCACTGCCTAGCCAAAAAAAACCCCCCCAAAAAACAAACAAACAAACAAAAAACTGAAAAAGAGTATGGAAGAAACTAGGCATAGATCAAAATCTCAAACCATATACCGAAATAAAGTCAAAATGGGTTCATGATTTAGATATGAAGGCTAATACTACAAGCAAACTGGGAGAACAAGGAATAGTTTACCTATCAGATTTACGGGGAACAGAAGAATTCACGATCAAACAGGAGATAGAGAACATTATGAAATGCAAAATGGATAACTTTGATTATATTAAATTGAAAAGTTTTTGCACAAACAAAACCAATGCAACAAAGATTAGAAGGAAAGTAGAAAATTGGGAAGGAATTTTTACAACCAGGTGCCTCATTTCTAAAATATATAGAGAATGAAGTCAAATTTATAAGAATACAAGTCATTCCCCAATTGATAAATGGTCAAAGGACATGAACAGGCAGTTTTCAGATGAAGAAATTAAAGCCACCTATAGTCATATGAAAAAATGCTCTAACTCACTATTGATTAGAGAAATGTAAATCAAAACAACTCTGAGGTACCACATCACATCTATTAGATAGGCCAACATAACAAAACAGGAAAATGATAAATGCTGTAAAAGATGTGGGAAAATTGGAACACTAATGCATTGCTGGGGGAGTTGTGAAATGATCCAACCATTTTGGAGTGCAATTTGGAATTATGCACAAAGGGCTATAAAAACGTGCATACCCTTTGACCCAGCAATAGCATTTCTAGGGCTATATTACAAAGAGATCATACACATGGGAAAAGGACCCACATGTACAAAAATATTTATAGCAGCTCTTTTTGCAGTGGCAAAGAACTGG